CAACCGACTCGACGGCAAACAACAACAACAACAATGGTTCTGTTACGATGGTGGTTTTAGAGATGATTCCCCCTCCCTTTAACTCTATCTAATTTTGGCATATTTAATGGGAAACAATAATATAACGAACTTATTAGCCTGGGAGACCTGTTCTCTGTTCTCTAAATTCAGTTGCTGCCCTTGACAAAAGGCCTTTTGGTGACTTTAATTACTACATTGGTGTTTTTTTAGGACATCCAAAGCCTATTTTCTCCTAATTATCCCTATTCCCTAGCACAATACCACCTGGGGGCAGGATTGATAGGAGTGAGCAGAGATGGGACTGTGAGATCAGCTGTGGTGGGGTCACCTTGGTCTCGCTGGGAAAAGTTAGAGAATCCAATAATGGTCCGCCTCCGCCTCAGGGTGGACTTGGGGTTCACGGCTGTCTCTGTGTTAAACAACGAGTGTCGCAAACTTGCATGTTTATCAAACTGCTGTCCTGTAGCCAAAATAAAGACACTTAAGTGCATCCTGGTTTCTGTTTAAAGTACAGTGGACATTGTCCCGAGGTAAAGAGAAGGGATGATGGCAGTAGTGATGAGCATAAATAGTGTTTAGGCAGGTAGCACTTCTTCCCTTTCTCTCCCAATTTGGCCCTGGGTGCACATACTGGGTTTCATAGACCATATCCAGGTTCACTAGTGTTTCTCAAGTAGACTAGAGCAGTGGCTTTCAACCCTGGCTGCATATTGAAATAAACTGGAGTGTATGGAACTCCAATACCTGGACTCCACCTCGTGACATTTAAATCTCTGGAAGTAGGCCCAGGTACAAACATTTTCTAGAAGCTTCTTGGGTGATTGAGATGTACATCCAGGGGTGAAAAGCAGTGGTGTGGAGTGACAGGTTGAGAGTAGATGTTGCTTGATTGTAATCCTCTCTCAGAGAAAGCCTTTATATGGGCCAGGTTAGGACAATGTCTCCAAGAAGCTGCTCTACTCTCCTCTGCCATCTAAGAAGCCACTTGATATTCTGTCCTACCACCACCTGATCATATGTTATCAGAGTTCTCCACTGTGTGGTAATTGAGGTCTATGTCTCTTAAAGTGTTGGGTTAGTCTTCCATTTCTTCGAATTTGTTGGTGCTGAGTCAGGGTGAGGTAGGGCAATATGGGGAGTTATACATTTCCTCTCACTGTTCTCATTCAATAGCTAGCTAATCACAGTCTCTCCTCCCAGCCACATGACTGTATATTTATACTCACACCACAGCAAGTGGCTCAGCGAGCAAAACTCAGTGACAGTATCATCTAGCATAAGATAGACATTTAGAAATAAAGCACTAAGCATCACTTTTGTGAGTATCTCTTCATCACCCCTTTCTCCTATCAGTACATATTCCTAGGTTATGGGCTCTATTTCTTGCTTCTGAATTCCTGAGATGACACCACATATCCAGGAACTATCACCACCTTGGCCATACCTGTCCTCATTATTTTCAACTTTATCCAGCATACTATGGGCTAGTGCTGGCTCACCAGCTCCCTCTAGTCCCTTTGGGCTACTGAGTTCTTGATTTCATCAGGTCACAACTGGCCCTATCTCCCTCTGAAATGACAGACCCTATTTCTTTTGTTCTACTCACAGCCAATGGAATGTGGGACACAAATTAATAATGGGCATGATATGTGTGTCACATGTCCTCAAAGTCACAATCATCTGGGTTACATACATCACTTTCTCCACTCTTATGGGCAAGTACTACTGGGTTCCCTTTTGGTCATTTTCACCTTAGTCTCTTTCCCTTCTTGAAAACGTGCCAAGCAAGTTGAAAAGCCCTCTTTACTAGAAAACCTAGTATCTACTTAAAGTGCCATCAGGCCTTTGATCCATGCCTTGGGTAAGATCCTTCCCCTTTTCCCACTAGCACTATGAATCCCATACTTCCCCTGCAACTTCTATCAATGTGCACCAAATCTGGCTTTTGGCATGAGAAATTTTCTTTCCCCAAACCAAAAATAATTCGCAAACTTTAAGTTTCCATATATGCTTGAAAGAGCACACAGGTCCATAAAGTTTTAGAGTGTTTTTTTAAAAAATGTTTACTATCAACTGGTATCAGTTAGTGTGGCAGTGCACGTAGTGAGTAAAGAAACAGCAGCTAGAGCCCCCTCTTCTGCATACCTCTGTTCCCTGGCCAAAGCCATGATGATGACAGCACAGGGTGAGCCAGTAGCAAACAAAGTCTTGCTCCCTCCCCCTAATACCCGGTGCATTTGGAGAGGATGGTCTCTATTTGGCATGAAGGCAAGCAAACAGAGGTGGTGCTAAGCAACTCTACCAGAGATATTGATGGGCACAATGTCAGACTGCGTGCAGCAAGACTGAGGCCACTGCTTTTCCTCTAGGATGGTCAGAGGGAAGAGGCTATTCCAGGCAGTTTGCTTGTCGGCTGTGGTAGACAGTTTCAGTGAGGCCTCGGAGGCCCTCACACCCTGGGTGGTGGTCTCATCCTCACTCAGCTGCTGTTTTGTAGGCTGTTGGGAAAGAAGGTGATAGGAAGGGTGTGCTCCTGGCTGGAGATGAGCCAGTGCCCACAGGCTAGCTGTTTAGGCAGGGTGGTTGGAAGCATCATTTGGGAGGTAGAAAAATGTGGACAGGCTGCAAGGCCAAGTACATTGCCTATGCAGGGCCCACAGTGGTAGGGCCTCAGAGTAGTTCTACTGGAGAGTAAAGGTGAGCAGCAGCTTCTAGTGGGCAATGTGAGCAGCTTGTGGTCCCCTGCCAGTGGATGCAGAGTGAAATCTGCACACTGGCTCTCCCAGGTCAGGGAAGAGGCAACTCACCATCAATACTAACTCCAGATGCCTGGCAGGCTGGGGCGTTGGATTGGGTGTGGGCTCAGGGGGCTCATCAGAGGAGCGGAAGGTCTGCCCCAGGAGTCTGGCTTCCGAGTACTGTTCCTCATATTCTTCTGAAAAATAGCACAGTGTATACACACTCTAGGGGGCCATAGCCAAGCATTGGGCTGGGGAAGGACCATGAGCTAGGACTCCTGCTCTAGCTGCCAGGCCTGACCTGCATTGTTTATTTAGGATATTTCTTGGTATCTGAGCCTCTGGATTCTGAAATGGAAAAAGACCTTTTACCTAGAGCTCAGAGGGCCGAAAAGAAAAGGTTCAGAGACCAAATTCTTTCTCATGGTCTCTATCTTAAGTGCCCGATTTGGAGAAAGGGCTCAGAGTGCAAACACCTTTTGCTACTTTTTATTACAAGAGCCACTCTTTGAAGTCCTTCTTCAGGTTTTCTGCAACTACCAGAAAAGTGACCTGTGTGAAGCAAGAAGAAATTTGCATTTGGAAGTCCAACCTGGAGTTTTATCTTAGATGTTAAGAGCTCTTATTTGAGCTTTTTTTGGCCTGGTTTCCTGCACCTTAGTCCCACTTTGGGTGGTGACAGTCCCAGGAGAGCTATGATGAAGGAAAGGAAAGAAGATAGTGTCATAGAAGGAAGAAGTTCAGGAGCATCATTAGGGAAAAAGAAGGATGTGATAAGAGTTGAATGGGATTGAGTTAGATGAGTAAATGAAGAGAACTTGTTTGAAGTGAACAAACAGATGTGGCTGTACTTACATTTGAACATAGACTCTTAGAATTATAGAAACTCAAGCTGCTTGGGAAGTACCTTAAAGTTTCTCTGATCCAACATCCCATTTTGTGTTTGACCTCCCTCCTCAGCAGCCTTCTAAGTGCTTATCCAGCCTGTGCACACATCTGCAGGACTGGGGCGCTCCCTCCCTCCTATAGCAGCTCATTCCATCCATGGACAGCTGGGGCTGTCAAGTGTGTCAGAAAGTTATTCCTTTTCATGAGGTGAAATCTCTCTAGGTTTCCACCCACTGGTCCCAGATCTGCCCTTGGTGGCTACACAGACAACATTGACTATTTCTTTTCTGCAAGGTAGCTGCTCTGTTATGGGAATACAAGCCTCACAGTGTTGCTTTTCTAAGGCTGCCCTGACAGGGAGGTGAAAGTTATGGCTGTAATCCAGTTGGATGAACTTTTTGCAGTTTTCCCTTCTCCATATGAGTTAACTTTTGTTGGTATGGATAAGTGAGAGCTGACATAACTCTCTTCATACCAGCTCTGTGATAGGTGCTTCTGGGAACCCAAGGGTACTAAGATATGATTCTTTCCATTGAGAAACTCAAGTCTGGTTAGGTGCACAAAATATATACACAGGAGTAGATGAATGAATAATTGAATGAATAACTAAAAGAAAAAGCTGTTGGAACTATACAAGTCATCTCAAACTGGATGGTACAAAGTGCCATGTTATGTTATGAAGGGAATGCAAAATACAGAATTAGTGCCAGAAGATTATTTTGGATGAGGCAAGGATATAATTTTAAAGAAAGTATAACGGTTGGAGCAAAGAGTAGGGAGGAAAGGCTTCTAAGCTTGGAAAGGTGGCCTGAACTGGACAGTGAGAGCCTGGAGGGTGTGCCGAGCTTTTGACTATCACTGAGGCTTCATTTTTACCTTTATATTGAGCTATAACTTACAAACAATAAACTGCACAAATCTTAAGTGTACAGTTTGTGAATCTTTGTGTATGCATACCTTCTTGTAATCTTCATCCAGATATTTGCAGCAGCCCAGTAATTCCTCTTATAGCACTTTTGCTACCTATATTATATAAATCCTTTCTCATCAATGTGTGTGCCTTTCATATTGTAAATATCTAAGAGGGATAACATTGTATCTATTTCATCCCCATGTTCCAGAGGACATGTAATGAGAGTTAATATTATACCATTCAGGTCTCTCTAGCTGCCAGATAATCTTGCTATTTACGTATTTTCTATTATTAATTCTCACAAAACTATGTTATGGGGGGAATT